TAATACTACAAGTTTGCTTGCGTTTTGTCTCCTGTCTCCTCTCCATCCCTCACACAACTCCAACATTTTAAGGAGTGAACAGGCTCGGCAGTTTGCTCTTGGTTGAATTATGTACACGTGGGGAGACATTTGTCAAAGTAAAATGCACTGTTGGAGCCAAGTCTCTTGCTCCTTAGGTGGAAACACAGTATGCTGTTAATCACCTCTGAAAGAAATACACAACACACTCACACACACACACACACACACACACATACATACACAGACTATTAGGCTGGTTTGGGTCCAGCTGTACAGAGTTGTTTGTCTGTTGCAGAAGCTGTTTATCTGGCCTGTTTTTGTGGGTGTGTGTGGGTGTGCAGCTGCTGCACTGAAGCACCAGTGGAGGCCGTCGCTAATGACCTCATCTGTGGAGTGAACACCTGTGGGAATGGCCGACCTCAAAAGAGCTGCAAAGGATCATGGGATTGTACACACCATGCCTCAAAGAGACTCCAGAAACCATGGCATTAACTCGCAGCACTGCCAATTAGAGGTGTGAGCCTCTCCAGGTTTTGCCTTTCGCAGACCAAGTCTGTGTCAAATTGTATTGTATGTAAGGTACACTGTGTAAGAATTAAGACTACTTTTCACATGTCGAATTCATACTCCAAAAAAATAGGGGGCAGAATATAACATATCAAGTCATAACTGGAGCTAACTGCAGTTAGCTTATTTAGCTAGAGGGGTTACTTAGCGGTCCTACTAGCTGACTGAGTCCGGAATGGGCACCAGAACTGGAGCTTAAATTTAATCTTTAAACTTCTAGTAAACTGTGACCGAACACAGCCTCTGAGACTGATGGAGGCCAGTTTGACTGGGAATACAGAGGTGATTTACAGCGGCTTTGGGCAAAACGCTGACTCTGGGGACGAAGAAGACACGGCAGGGTTTCAGGCGGGAAAAGGAGAGGCATCAAGAGGGAGAGTAGTGTGAGGTAAGTTGGCCAAATCTGTGTATTAAGGGTTTATTTCAATCAAACCAAAGTTGATGATTGTTAGAAAAGTGGAAAGACTTACCAATATGGCTTTGGTGAGTTTTATTTTGTTTCTCTCAAGTTTGAATGAGTGAGAGCAATTCTGTGAGTGAGAAACCAGAATTGAGAGGTGTATTCAACATAGCACAGACTGGGGCTAGTTGGTTAGCATGCTAACTTCAGTAGATATCTCTGCAATAAACAGACTCTTTGACATATGTTTAGGGATCACTTGGAAGGGGAGCTTCCAGTCATTATTGCTAAGCTACTTGCCACCGAACACACTTAATGCACAGACATGAGAGTATTCCTGTATGGGATCTTTTATTACAAAAGCAGTTCTACAGAATACCATGTGCAGTACATGTATCTGTAAAGCAATACATGGACAATACAGCAGTATCTGAGGTTTCAATGCAGTTTACTGCATGGAGGTTTTAGGAAATAAAACAGCTGCGTAAAATGTTAATTGTATATTAATTGTATATAGTGTGTGTACAGTGGGTATATATTTATTGATCTATGTAGAATGTTACCGATTCTACTTTTATTGTATTTTGTTCTTTCACATTCCACTGTGCTGCTGTGCCAACCTGAATTTCCCATACAGGGAATTAATAAAGGTATATCTTAGAGGTGGGCAGATCAGTCCCAAGATATCATTATGTCTCGTTTGAAGATCGATTCTAGTGTTACTAGGATCAATACCAGTTTCAGTTTCTCTCTTCTATGTTGTACCCATTTCATTAAAGAGTAGAACCGTCTGTGCAAACAATGTTCTGTTGAACACATTTTAGTGCATGCACTCTTTGCTTCTCCAATCTCCACTGCTGTTGTTGTGTCATGTGCACTAAACAACAAATATACAGGTTGCGCTACCCATGCTTAATTTGGCAGGTAGAAATTCTTAACACCGTATGATGCTAACCTTTGGCAAATCATTTAGTGGTCATGAAAATGTATTCAGATTTATCCCATTGCTGATGCATTCACCTCATAAATCATGACACACTGCTTTCCCCTACATGAAAGTACATAAGGTGCTCTTAATAATAAAAAGTATCAGTATTGGTATCGATATTTGCATTTCTGAACTTGTATTACTTGGTGTCGGATCCAAACCAAACTTTTCAGTATCTCCCACCCCTAGTATATCTTATCTTATCTTAATTAAGATGAAATGTATTCTGTCCCACCTGGACTTCATGGGCTTCTTAAAGATAATGGCACTTTGAAATAAATAAAACAAGAATAAGTTCAAACTCCTCTTGGCAGCCTTTCAAGATGTAGGGGGAAGCTACTTGAGAGTGAGGAAGGCTACTTCTGGAGATTGTGCTGAATAATACATGCCTGTTAGAGCAGAGCCGAGGAAGCTGACATGGATGGAGGAGAGACTATTGAGCTGGATATAGAGTTTTGATAGTGTGTGAATATGGAGTATTTATTATGATGAGATATGAGCAGGCAGGTTAGTGACATAGTGGAAATATGAGATTCGATAAATCTATTATATTCACACATGCAAAAAGGGGAAAAAGTGTAGCAGTACATTTATTTTTAGATGCAGATGCATTCCTAAATGTTCGCACATACATCAACACATTAACAGCCAGTGCATTGTGTTAATGGTTACACCTCACTTCTTTATATTGTACAGTAGAGCTATTCACATACTCACATATGAGAAAACAGGATGTGTGTGTGTGTGTATGTGTGTGTCTGTGTGTCCACCGCTGCAGGTTCAGATCTGACATATACGAGGGGTCACTCCTGCCCTGTAGCCCATTGACCTCATCAGACAGTGTTGAATTATGGGTAGTGGCACTTGGGTCTCACAGCTGTCTCTCTGCTTAGGGCACAGTGATAGTGAGTCATCTCACTCAATCGCGCACACACTCACACAAACTCACACACTCACACAACAGCTGGACTGCAGGGTAGCTGACATTTAGCAGTGGATGAAAAAGCAGTGAGTGTGAGCTGGAAAAAAACAAGAAAGGAGCTGCAGCCATGATGGTATCAAACGTGTCACCGTACGGCAGAGTGGAAGCACAGCAAGTAGAAGATAAACTTTTTACAGTGAACAAACTGCACTTACTTGTTGGTCTGCCCTATCTCCTTGCTGCAACAAATTAAGCTTTGACAATTCAACTGACAACTCAGCTCAAATGACAACTGTCACTGTCAGGTTTTGTCAGCTCTAGCAAGCTAGAGAACTAAGCTAATGTGAGCTCCATGAGTTGTTATCTCCAGCTAGGAATCTTACATTAATTTCCTGGAGACTTATCCTACCCTAAAATGTAATAATTTACTTTATGGGGACTTGCGTTTTGTCCCCAGAAGGAAGTCCCCATATGTGATAGGTGTAAACTGATTTATGTCACCATGTATTACTCATGTTTCCACAATGAGTAATACATGTCCACATGCATACACATGCACACACACACACACACACACACACACACACACACACACACACACACACACACACACACACACACACACATACACAATGCAGCTGACATAAATAGGCTATCCATGGCAAATAACATGACAATCTGTTGAATATTTGATCACAGACCAGCACAGACTTAATAATTTAGCAACAGGCCTTTAAATGACTCTCACTGCCTTTGGAAATTAATGGTGAACGGTTGGGAATCATTTCTCTGCATGACATTAAACACCAATTTTGTGCTCCTCGAGTTATTACATCTGTGGAAAATTTCACGTGATTAGAAAATGTCCAATAGCTGCCTAAAATCTGATGTCATTATTTTTGACATATGCCCTGTGTGGTTTATACCATCCTCTTTGCACTGGTTAGGATGATTTATTGCTGCATGACTGTAAAGAATTACCAGGTAAATTACATTTTAAGGTGGAAGAATAATGCGTCAAGTAAAAGAGCAAACTGTGGTCCATCATTTACGTTGACCACTACGATGTCTGAGGACAAGCCAAATGCAAAAAAGTGCATTGGAGTTTGCTAGAATTTCCCTTCCATAAAAATTGTGTTCTGTTATTATTGTGTATTTGCAACCTCTGCAAGGCACTATAGGTCTATATCAACATAAACCACTAGATTCAAAAACAGTTTATTTCCTACAACATACAGAACACCTAACACCCCTTGCCAGACCCCACAAGATCCCATACTGATCTGAATGCACTGTAGGCAATGGGCCGAACTCGTGCTCAGGCTGGACTTGTTTGCCCTAGTACATCAATCATTGTAGCCTACTTTCTGCCTGTGTGGGTGCTTGGAATGCTGAGGAACTGAACTGTATACATCAAATCATATCCACTGTACATACTCACATTTGAGTGTTTTGCACTGAGCTATTACTGTTACTTGGCAATAAGAAAGAATCTATCTATCTATCTATCTATCTATCTATCTATCTATCTATCTATCTATCTATCTATCTATCTATCTATCATGAGGATTGTTACTCCTGATTATTTCTTCCCTTTCTATGTTTAGGCTATGTAAAATCCTTTTAAAAATCTGACATTTATATGGCACAATTCATTCATTATGATATTTTTTTTTGCTGTTCTTTGATTGAATGAAAGGCATTTATGACTCTATCACCCACTGTTTTATTCAAATTATTGTGAGCTTAGGCTTTATTTGACAATAAAATGTAAAATAAAGTAATATTAAATTGTAAAAAGTAGATAGGCTAAAGTACAAAATAAGTTTGATGCACCACTACATAAAGAACATAAATTCAAGGGATATTGTGGGCATATGGTGGTGATAATCCTTGTGTCATAGTTGGATCAGTGTAAATCACGGGGTGGGCTCAAACAACGACGTCCGGCCAGCTCGGTGTCTCCTGGCCGGTCGATGGCTATCAGGAAACAAACCGGATGAATGAGACACCGTGTCGGCGGTCACATGTCGTGCAGCGGGCTCCTAAATGATTTAAAGCTTTTTTTTTTACATCATCAGCCTCACCCTCCCTCCTCCCCATCCCTCCTCCCCATCCCTCCTCCCGCGCTGGCTCTCGCTGATGCACCGAGCAGCAGGGAGATGCTGCTGCTGATGCTGGCGACCGACTGCAGCATCTGACATGGGCATCCTTTAATCCGGCCGCGCCACAGTGAGTGTTTTTCCTCCACTTTTCTCTTCCTCTCATTCTCTTCTTATCACCAGCTAGATCACCCCTCCACCCCACTCCTCCACTGGATCCCCCCTCACTCCTCCTCCCTTTTTTATTGTCTTCCTTTGTGCAGCTTTTTTTCATGAGCGATGGCGCATAACGCAGTGAAAACTGTGCGTCCCTCGTAGAGGTGGCTCTTTAGTGAGTTCGGTGAGAGGACGGAAATGTCGGGAATTGCTCCCTTCCTGTATGTGCACCTCACCTTAACGGTGCGCGTCTTTGCGTGACAAAGAGAAAGATAGAGAGGGCTACGGGCGGGCGTCGCTTCTCCCACCGGACTAGAGCTGCAGCAGGACACGTTCGGAGGGTCTAGAGAGGACAGGAAGAGACAGAGGGGCGGCGTGGAACTCGACAGAAAAGAGGGTGGGACGTTCAATTAAGTGTTTTTGCAGGTGAGAGCACGTAGTTATTGGCTATATGGACTGTGCTTAGGTGTGTCAGAGGGAGATGAGAGAAACAACGATGCCATCGTGAAACTTACTGTCTTTATGCTCAGGAAATGAGAAGGAGAAGGAGGAGAGGAACGCTTTTGCATGCTGTGATAGTGTCGAGGTATAGAGTTGCTTTGCTATTGTCAGTCCTCCTGTTACAAAGGGGTAGTATTATAAACATTCATATAAAATAAGCTTTTTGCAAGGGCTGTCTGTATCATAAAGATTATGATTTATCAGCATTATCTGGCTCTTGGCACATTCTGCTCAGCAAAAACAGTGAGTCCTATCTATCTATCTATCTATGTCTGTTTGTCTGTCTGCAGCCCCACGTCAACAGTGAGGCAACACACTGTGATGCTGGATGCATGTGTGTGTGTTTATGTGAGGACAAGAGCACTCAGACACTGAAAGCCTCAAGCTGTGGATCTGGGCTAATCCCTAATGACATGGCCAGTTCTCTCTCTCCCTCCCTCCCTCCCTCTCTCTATCCGCCACAAGGTCTCTCCTCTCTCTTTTTTTCCTCCTTAATTCTTTCTTCCCATCCCTCAAATCCAGTTGTGATGACGTGCTGTCCGTGGTGCTGAAAACAGTCATCGGCAGATCGCTGTGCTCAAGCTTGATGGGCCGTGTCAGCGCTCAACAGGTGCCTATTACTTACCACAAGAGACAGCTGCAGAGCAATGGAGAAAGTTGACTTCAGCTTTAATTCAATGACTTTTATGTGGAGGTTGTGTTTGCAAGCTTTGAGCTGTGGGTTTTTGTATGAAAATATTGACATATTCAGTCTGCAGAAAGCGATTAAAGTGTCGACATAGAATTATTGATAGGATACAATTTAAACAAGTGATCATTTAAAGCACAATAGGTGATTTAGGTTCTTGGCTGGCAAAATTAGAACACTTTTTCGTGCTGTGTCAACTATATATTTTCAAATTAATTTTTAAATTTAAGTAAAACTCAAAAATTCAGGAAATAACAAAAATGTTCTGCGTCTCCCATTGGCAAAACTATGACATACATGAATACTGCTTTAGTTTTGAAAATACAAAAGCATTTAAAAAATTTTAATTGTAGCCTCCCCCAGTATAGTACCATACAAAAGAATGGATGTGAAAAAGAAATATAATGACGATGATGACGGATAGGGTGAAAACAACAACAATAACAAGTAGAACCAGAAGATTACATAACTGACCAATTTAGCAACTGCATTTTGCCTTCTTGCATATCCATCACATACTCAGCCCCCAAGATATCCGGGTCTCACATCAGAGGACTCAGAGTCACATGTAGGGCCACACCACCGGAGCAGCTTGAGGTGCAGTGACTTGTTCCTTGCTCAGTGGCACTTTACCAGGACACAAATATCGTGACTGCCTTTTTACCATTGCATTAATGTAACAGTTTTTGTTTTACATTGGCTGAATATTTTCACTTTGAGGAGGTGTTGATTTTGTGATTCACTGTCTGGCAGAGTTTCATTTGGTAGAGATAGCACTGGAGAGATGACAGGAAGTGAGGTTTAAAGATGCTTGAAAGGTCCCCAGCTGGATTTGAACAAGGGAATGGTTGGTATCTTATCTCCTTAACCTCAGGAAGAATTTTGATTTATTTAGTTTTTTTATATCACATGCACAAACTAATAATGTTCCTTCAAAGTCATAAAATAATTAAAAGATTGAAATTGTAAAAGCTTGCTAACTACAATATGTTAGTCCAGCTGATGATGTAGTAACACATAGTGTTGTACTGGAGACCAGTCTTGGTCTTGAGGCCGGTCTTAAGACCACTTTTTGAAGGTCTTAGTCTTGTGTTGGACTTGACCCTCTTTAGCTGTTAATTGCGGTGAGAGCCTCTCACCAACTACAGCGACAACACCGCAGCTAACTTCATGCAGTCCACTAACACCACAGAACGACCAGCTCCCAGCACAGCACACATTCCAACACAAAATCCAACATAACCTCCATGTAAGAATAAAAAACAATACAGTTTTATGTGCTGAGATTTAGATGATGTCGGGTGAAAACAGTCAATATCAGAAAGGCTGAAGTCACTGAGTCACGTTAGCTCTCCAGCTAACGCTGAGCAGTTGCTAACGTTATCAGGTGCAAAGTTAGTATAGCTTTCCACATGACTTCACCAGCTAATGCGACCCATATTACTATCCTGTTTACCACCAGTATTATGTCAAAGTGATGATTTAGCCTGCAAGAAATGATGTAAATGTACAAAGCAAACGTGGAGTGATTTGTTCATACAAGTATGAATTAGTTCAACCTCAAGCTGATAAAAGTAACGTTGCAGTGGGAGTTTACCTGAGTCTCCAGCATGTTGTGTGAAGCTGTCTTTCACACTGTTGGTGTTTCCGCGTTTATTGTGGGATTTCTGTGAAAGCGGTTGTATTTTGGATTATGTTCCCTCATGAGTTCAAGCCTATGGTTCAAGCACGTATACGAGCACGTCAGGTTGCAATCTTAAAACCGCACCACTAGTACATATTTCCTCTTTAACAGTGTCATTTGTTATTATAAAAATATTTATTATAGCTGCTTAAAGTCACATGCCAAAATTGTGAGAGTAACTATGTGTAACTGTATAACCACAGTATTTGTGAAATGCTACTGTGTATGTGTGTGTGTGTGTGTGCGCGCGCTTGTGTGCGTGTGTGTGTAATAGATACAAGACAGACACTAGAGAGAATTGATGTTTATTTGAGAGATGGTAATGTTTATGTCTGTTTGGAACAATCAGACAGATAGATGATTTCTTCATGGCAGTTACTTTACATTTAGTGGTGTCAAAAAAACAAGTAAAATATAGGTGTGACTCATGCAGCAGAAACACAGACACAGACATACATACAACCATAATATATTTATGAATGGCTGACTGGTCTCCACCACCCTTTCTTCATCAGATGCTGCTCAGCACTGACGTCAGTGAACCTGCCTGCGCATAAAGGCTAATATAATCAGAACCTCACACACAAACACAGACACACATGCACACATTGTCTCTTTGTTTGCCTCTGTCAGTAGCACACACAAACACACACACACACACACACACACACACACACACACACACACACACACATCTGGTCATTGGCTCAACAGGCACAAAAGAGAGAAAAGAGGAGGAGAGATAGATGGAAAGAGACTGAAAGAGACTAGAGGGCTAGTGTGTGGGAGATGGGCGGCCATGATCATTATCATTACAATGTCATCTGATCTCTGTTATAAATCTGACTGTTGTTTCTTCCCTACAGGTGTATCAATAGTTTTGCATGTCTCCTGTGATTTGGAGTACTTTATAAACAAGATGCACAAATCAACACAGTCAATCATCTTGCACAAAGTAGTTCCAGTGTGCTTCCTTCCCCTAAATACTAACCCAGTATTTGCGTCTTCAGCTCCTACTCCTCCATAATACTACTACTACTACTACTACCACTACTACTACTACTACTACTACTAATAATAATAATAATAACAATAATAATAATAATAATATTTTTTAAAAGATAGTCCCATTGAATATAGTTAAACTACAACAGTCCTGATGTGATAATTAGCATGATGTATTACTTTTTTCAAGGCAGCAATAAACAGTGTGTATACTAACCGAAATAAGTCTTACAGGAGGCAGTAAACCTCTAGTAAAACAGACATTAGGATGTTTAAATTGTGGTAAACAATGTGAATATCCTATCCTGGTCATCAGGGGGAGGCAGGAGCGGATAAAATTTTCACTGCCGATATCCTTTCTGTGGGTTGATTGTGAAACATGATTATTTAAGAAATTGTATAGGATTTTTTTAAATTGTTGCAATGAAGCGTATGAGAGAGGACAGGAAACCCAGTTACATCTTGCTAACCTGTAGCTTTCCCATGTAATTGGCAGTAGTTACTATGAGGTTCTCTTTTTACACAAAACGAGGCTGCTACAATGACACCTTTATATTCTCACAAATAAAAAGACTAAAAACTTCACACAAAATGTACCTTTGGATCCCCATTTCATGGCATTCAAATTTTTCTTGACTTGTACATTGTACATTGCCATTTAGAGTTATTAAAACAGATACGTGTACTCTACAGTATTTTAATGGCTTAATTTACTTATATCAGTCCCAATGTTATTATATAGCATACTACAATAAATATACTGTATATATAGATATGCATTTATCACACATTATTCTATTTGAAGGCAATGAGAAATGCTCAGCAAATGAGCATTGTTACTTTTCTTTACATTTCACGCTAGGAGGGAAAAAAAGAAGCTCGGGCTCTTGGTGCACTCTAAAATGCTAATCCAAAAAGTCAAAGTTGTTGTTGGATTGAAAAAACTGTTGATGGACAAACACTGGAGTTCAGGGAGTTTTATCCATTTGGTTACCATGGTAAAGCACTCCAAGGTCAGCCTCTGAGAAGAGGCAGAGAAAAAGAAAAACACAAAACAAACAACAACAGAGTGCAAAAGGGAGGAAATACACTTGAC